ACACTTTAAAGTGTAAATTTTACACTTTAAAGTGTAAAATTTACACTTTAATCTGTAAAATTTACACTTTAATCTGTAAAATTTACACTTTATTCTGTAAAATTTACACTTTAAAGTGTACATTTTACACTTTAATCTGTAAAATTTACACTTTAAAGTGTAAATTTTACACTTTAATCTGTAAAATTTACACTTTATTTGTTTATTCACGTAGTCAAATAAGCATATTCATACATCCTTAGTAACGCATTTTACAGCCAACAGACCATTAATATTGCAAGATAATATTTAATTCTGATTTTCTATTTTACAATAAATGCAAATGATAAGCAAATTAGTATTACTCATACAAGTGAAACTTTTCTTAGAATATAAATGAAGAGCATATCAAACATATGCAAACATGTACATGTTTTAGATGAATGTGATATTGATATCAAAGTATGTTTATATTATGTTTATAATTTGGAACAGCAATGAATTTAATATATTTTGATTCAATGACTTTTCTTTGATGCTACGTTAAAAAAAAATGACCATAATTTTCATAATCACCATAGAACCATATACTTGTAATATCAAACTTAACTGCAAATAAAAAAATCTTTGAGATATTTATTTTTACTGTTAATTACACTGTTCATGTACCAATAAACATGTACGAGTACATGTAAAATAAAAATATGCAAACAATTGTAAACATCACAGTTTAATACTTTTTTTCATGTGTCCGAGGTAAAACATCACAAATCGACCGTTTGATCATAACTGATAACAGTTTAGGTAATTAAAAATAAAGTGTAAAATTTACAGATTAAAGTGTAAAATTTACACTTTAAAGTGTAAAATTTACAGATTAAAGTGTAAATTTTACAGATTAAAGTGTAAAATTTACACTTTAAAGTGTAAAATTTACAGATTAAAGTGTAAAATTTACATATTAAAGTGTAAAATTTACAGATTAAAGTGTAAATTTACACTTTAAAGTGTAAAATTTACAAATTAAAGTGTAAAATTTACAGATTAAAGTGTAAAATTTACAGATTATAGTGTAAAATTTACACTTTAAAGTGTAAAATTTACACTTTAAAGTGTAAATTTTAGAGATTAAAGTGTAAAATTTACAGATTAAAGTCTACTTTACAGATCTGTAAATTTTACAGATTAAAGTGTAAAATTTACACTTTAAAGTGTAAAATTTACAGATTAAAGTGTAAAATTTACACTTTAAAGTGTACAAATTAAAAAAAGTGAAGTGTGCAAGTGGCACTAATACGCTTCCGTAGTTAATAGTCCTCCTGGCCCTGATATTGTAATCATAGAAAAGTTCGCCTATTTATACTGCCATTTTGGTTTCAAAGATTATTCGGTCCAAAATTTTTGTTGAAAGACGACCAAAAATCATTAGAGTTGGTATAGAAAATGAAGAAGTTTCAATATCTTAGGCCTTAAAACTTGAAACTTAAAAAGAAAATAATAATGATTTGATTTTTTTTAAGGGGGGGGGGGGGGGGGGGTCGGGTTCATTTTCATTCTCAAAAGATTTCACCATATAATTGATTAAATGTTAAGCTTTTATCAGAACATTGCGAGCGCCTTTGGAATATCAATATATCACATTGTCTTTTCAGCCTAACCTATTATTTTTCTTTTGTTTACATATTATCAAGCATAAAATCATTGTCGGAATTATAAATTATTTTTTTTAACACTGGGTATAATGCTCAGATATAAATAAATACGCATCTGCGAGTATCAAGCTGTATCTTATTTCTTAAAAATTTAAGTTGCAAATTCAATAAAATTTCAACATTAATATGAGGGACTACTGTTTTTAAATGTATTTCATCAATAATTTCAATTTATTTTAACAAATCTTATTTTTGAATGCTAAATACATTAATTTTATAAGGCGTTATTCAGAGTTTAGAAAATAAAGACTGCATAAAATTTACATTCAATTGATATCTCTCTCTCTCTCGTTAAAATACCTATATTCATGTAGGTATCGCCGGGGGAAATAAGTGTAAACTGTCGGAAGCTATGGATCCACAGGCACCTGACATTACATATTTTTCTTTTAATAAAAAAGATATACCCTTACCCAATTTTATAAGGTAGGGGTATATTTTTTTACTAAAAGAAAAATAAGTAACGTCAGGTGCCTGTGTATAGATCATTTAAAAAAAAACAATGCTATTGCGCGCCAAATTTTATTTACAACGCTAGCGTAGTCCTAAACCTACGTCATAATTTAACGTCAATGGGAAGAAATATGACGTCATATTTAGACCAGTACCGATTTGAAAATAAAGACCAATACTTGTGTCAAAATATAAATATTACTGTATTTAATTTAAACTGAGATAAATGATATATAAACAAAAAAGTTAAACATATATTATAAAGCGACATTTTTGTCGCTTTGGCGTTGACACAGTAAACGACATTTTTGTCGCTTTGGCGTCGAAAGGGTTAACTAGTATATCAAGAATGATTTCAGCTATTAAAAATAAATATGAAAAGCTAAAAAAAAATCATAAAAAAGCATTCTGGAATAATAATCATTTATATAAAAGCATCTTCATCTTTCATAATAATGTTAAATTATTGATTTTTATCAGAGGGTTTCAATAACGTTGATCGATGACGTCACAACTGCATCAAAACAAAAATTAAGAGAATGTGATGACGGCCCTGCTTGTATCCAGATAACTGTTTGAGAGGGCAATACTTTATAAATTGTTTGTGATTTATTAGAGAAAAGGATCATTGATCAAGTGTAATGATTTTAACGCTGTATGTTTTTCATTACTGAAGACAAGTGACCGCGTCCTCATGTAAGTCAGGATTTCCTCTGATATTCATTTAAAAAATCAAAGAATGCAAATATAAGTAATAAACAACGATTATTCAGTGAACATGGCTAGCGCGCATCATGGAATATGCCAGCAGAGCAATTGCTATTCATAACGCCATGTTCACTGAATAACGTTGTTTATTATATGATTGAATAATTTCCATCTCTCTGATTGGCTGAGATCGAACTATGTTAGAAAAATATTACGTTGTATTGACCTGCACGTGACGTTCCAGGTCAATACAAGGATTTATTTCCTCAACATTGATCTAAAAATAGATTTGGGAATTCCAAATTGATACGATTTGTATTTTCATGTGAACAAAACATAAGTGAATATATATATTATGTAAGGGTGGTAATTAAGAGGGTGTGCAAGGACACCCCCTCCTCCAACACTATTACTGAACATTAATTTTTTTTTACTTTTTGGCAGCCAGTTTTCCCTGATAATACTTCTTCCTTTCAAAATCTATCCTATAAAAAGACTGATATTATATATTTCTTTTACGTCTTCTAAAATTAAAGTAAAAAAATATTCAAAATGATACGCCTGGTAAGGTTTATTAACGTTTTAATTCTGCTACTCTCTTGTATTTGGCTAGGACTTAATAAAATGCAAACAAGTAATGAGCTGACAGTATCATTTTATCAATTATCAGTGAATCATATAATAAAACAATTATTGCTGTTTTTTCGGTCAATACAATGATTTAGCCATCTTCGAAGTACAATATTCACCTCGCCCGTCGGGCTCGGTGAATATTGTACTCCTCAGATGGCTAAATCATTGTATTGACCTCAAAAACCAGCAATAATTGTATATTATTTCTTAAATAACGTGACGTGACATCTCTAACTTGACGTTACGTCGAAGTCTCCCCCGGGTTTCCCAACTATCCAATTTTAGAAAGCTCGCGTGACCTTATTGGTGACTAGAAAGTGGTGAAATTTTCCAATATTGTTGCATTATGACTCTTCATTATGAATATGCCTATTGATTGATTTCATCAAATCGCGATAAAATTTTAGAAAGAAATTCCACGAACTTTTGGATCAACCCTAAGGAGAACAAGAAGTACATATTTATGATAGGTACAGAATCTTCTGGAAACGAACAACAGGGCCACATTAAGCATGATTATGCAAACTGATATACAATCATCTCTTGATGTTTTATTCCTATTAAAGCTGAACACTTATCATAAATAGGCACTGTCAGACGGGTATATAAACCGTTCGCTTTCGTTACACCCGATTGCACACTCGAAACTCGTGGCCGACATGTAGTACTCCTATTGTGATCTTATATTTTTGAGTTTATTTCTTGTTTCTGTGTTCATTTTCTGTTTGTATATAATGTATTGTCAATTTTGACATGTATTTTCCATGATACTTTTATCCTGTTTTGGAAAAAATACGTACAATTTGATGATTTCATCGATATTGAGTAGAACGCTTTGAAAGATGTACGTCTGCACTCGTCGGATCTCTATAGTAAAACACATTGAACTGACTAGCTCCTTTTATACGAGTTGTAGGGAGAGCGTTGAAGAACGAGAAATATGGCGGACTATGCCTATTTACGAGTAGTGTTCAGCTTTAATGTGCTGGATTCACAATAGTTTGTGGCTATTAGGTTTTACATTGGAATATACAATTAACAAATGGACACTTTGGTGCAGCATATGAAATGGCAACATCCAATATGTTGGACAGGACAGTCCTGGATGTAGAATGTGTTCCTTTTAATCAAACCCCTAGTGATGAAATAAGTGCTGACCCAGGCACTAAGGATTCTGAATCTAGGCTGACACCACTGACTAAAATGAAAAGAAAAAAACAGGCTGACAGTGAAGAAAGTCTGTCTGGAAAAAGAAGAAAAAAAACATAGTGGTAAAACTAGTGACATAACAGTGAATCAATCAAATAGTGGTAAAACTAGTGACACAACAGTGAACCAATCAAATAGTGGTAAAACTTGTGACACAACAGTGAACCAATCAAATAGTGAGAAAAGTCTGCGGAAAACTTCTGTCTCAAAAAATACTCAGGATAATAAAAAGCCAAAATTTTAAGTTTTTCTAAAGTAGAACCTAATAAGAAGGGAAAATCTGTGTCCAGAAAAAACGTTATCAAAAACTCAACCTCGAAATTTACAAAAAAGAGGAAAACTGTGAAAAAGAAGAAACGAGGGAGAGAGGAGACGCGAACAGAGATAGAGGAGGAAAGAGAAGAAGAATTGTGTACAAGAAACAACACTGGTCACAATGAGAGCAGTTCTCCAATTTCGTACGGTGGGAAGCTGGATTACAATGAACCCAGCTCTCCGATTCCATATGGTGGGAAAATGGATCACTCGGAGGGTAGCTCACCAATACCGTACAGTGGAGACTTGAATTCAGAAAGGTCTTCATCTCTTACAGAAAACATCACAGAAGATGAAGGAGTTCAGCATGATTCCCTGAATCCGCAGACACAAAAACATTCAGCAAACTGTTTAGACTCTGAAGAGGAAAACAGTAAAACAGACAACAAGCAGCTCACTACCAGTGATGATGGAAAAAGGTAAACAGAGAAAGAAGACCTTACATTTCACAAGATATTCTGTTTAAGTGAAATTTAGTGAAGGTTCATTTATATGGATTTTTTTCCTTCAGAGAGGAATTTGAACCTTATCTTGATGCTAATGATGCTATGTAAAACAGAGTCCACCTCGTTTTATTGCAGAATATTGCAGAATTTGCTTATGTTAAATTAATTTCCTTTTTTTAGAGAGGACTTTGACCCCAATCTAGATGCTGATGACTGCTATGTAAGTGGATCAGATGATGAGGATTTACCAGATGTACTTACTCCATCTAGACAAGGTAAGATCACAATCTTTTACAAAACTTGGATATCTGTGTTAGAAGTTCATTTGGTCAGTTTACCCAAAGTGACCAAATCAATGTAAAGTACGAAACCTGAATAGCAAAGAGGATCAGTGGAGTGTCATTTGAAGATCTCTAAACCAACTTTTAGTATGATTTAAAAACTCTGCTTCTTTCTTGCTATTCTGTGGTCCATTTTACAAAAAATCTTATGATTCACTGGCTAAGACTAACCTCTAATCTCAATTTTAAAGTAATTATCCAAGCAGCGAAAATCTATTGTTACTATTTCATTATATCAACATTTCATAATTTTATTGAAATTAATTATTTAGAAAAAATATCTTTATAAAATAGATAATTACAGAATGGTGAAACTTAAGTCTAAGTTGTAAGATTTCTTTTTTTGCAAAAAGTCCCACAGAATATTTCTCACCTTGACCAGTTGTTTAAATATATAGACTTAGTTACAATGTTTCATTGGAGTCATGGTTGATTTTCAAAATTACAAATTCTGAATGAAATTTTTCCAGTATACAATAGTTGCTTGATAGTACATGTATTGCTGTGACATCACAGTGATATTGTGGAATCATTTTAAGGGTTCTCAACAACAACCCAGCTTATGTTCTCATATTACTGTTTATTTATTGCTCATGAACTTTTAACAAGCATATATCTGATAGCCTTAAAACTGGTCTGGAATATTGAAATACGAGGGTTGATCAAAAAGTTGCAACAAATTGAATAACTTCCATAAAAGAAACGATGTTTGGATTCAATGTTGATTATATTTTAAATTAATCCTCTCCGATTTTAATGCACATCAACCATCGTTCTGCGCATGTGTGAATCACATGATATTGATGGTCACGTGACCCCCTTCGTAGCGTTCTGTCACAAAAGTTGAAAGATTTTTCTGAGTTTTATATTTCTTTCCCTGTGAGTTGATTTTAATGACAAGAACAGTTCATTTTTTTTTTAGAAATGGTCAAATCTCAGGAACAGAATGGTTGGATAAGAATATCCTTTCCAAAAATAAGCATAGCGACCATTAAAACACAAATCCTCCACCTCGGGAGAGACCTTTCTTCAAGGTGGATAGAGAATGGGTGCCTTCTTTTTATCATATTCATATTCAATATTCAACTATTTTTCAAAGTGTTAATTGGAGGTCTTTGATAGCAAATTGCTTAAAGCCACTTCATCCGAAACAGGCACATATTATCTTAAACAAAAAAAAGTATGTCATTACATAGATAATATATAAAAATTAATTATAAGATTGATTTAATAGTTTATTACAACAATCCTTACATGGAAAACATAGATCAAAAACCTTGTTGACAAACAGCAATTCCTGACGGGAAGTTCCATACTTGCAAACTCACCCGATTTCGTCGGGTCACACCCGATTTTTCAACCCGTAACCTGATTTTTTTTATGACCCGGCGGGTCATGCTTATCACCCGATTTTTGCCGATCAACCCGAAAATCTCCCGATTTTCCGGATATGGTTCGTAAATTAGGTTGCACTTTTAACTTCCAGGTACAACCCAAGCTTAGATCTACCAGAGACGTATACATCCATTTAATTGTTTACACCTGCACTGATAATTAATCCATTGGCATTGTTTACGTAGATCCAGAGACGTATAATAGAGGGACCGCTGACTCATTTTCGCGCCAAATTATCTTCATGTTTTCGCAGCGCCCTCACCGGGAGTCATAGAAAGACTTTCGGTCGTATTAGCTGCAGTGTTTTCTTCGCAGACTTTGAGGTAAATATTGCTAAATAAATATACTGTATATTTTATTATTTATAGCCTGCACGTCAATAATAATGTACATAAGGTGGATATCTATGATGTATTTTGGCACATGTCAATGTTTGTTTCAGTGCCGTTTTGAGCGGGGCTATATTTTATGCAGCAACACAATTTTAAGCTTTACAGCTTACTGAACAACTATTCGTTGTCTTATTCATCCTTAGATCTCACTTAACACACCTTTATGAAGCAGGTCAAAGTCTTTTGGGAAAACAACTTCAGAATCTTGTAGAATAAATCAAGAGAGGTACTGTTACTCTGAAAATATGAAAAAGGCAAAATCAATGAAGAAAAGAATTTAATAGTCCCATGAAATATACTGTAAAACCTGGGATAATAATTGTTCATTATTTAGTATGTTAAAAAAACACTACAAAAGCAGTAAAAAAAAGATCAAAAATCCCCATGAAACAAGGGCACTGCAAGGCGGAGCATCCCCTCGCAAAAAACATATAAGATTATCACTCTATAAATCAAGGTAATACATGTATTCGATATTGATCCTGATGCAAATTTTGATGTACTTAGTAAATAACACATGTTTACAGTCATGTTAAGCAAAATAATACATTTTAAAAAAATTATTGTGATATAAATGAGTAAAACTTGCCACTTACTTAAAGGGGATGTACAAGCCAATTGGATCTAGTCTGGTATGAAATAAGAAATGCCAAGAATGCGCTTAATACTTGTCTAAACTAGCCCAAAGTTACTCAAAATGTTAATGCACTAGTTACCTACTGTAATAGACCAAAATTAGTAAATAATTAAGTTTATTGTGTCTTAATTAGGAGGAAATTAATCATGGTAGAACTGCGAAGCTACAGCATTCACGAGATGAAAAATGCATTGAAAATGGTGTTAGTTTGATTCATTGATAATATGGCTACAACCATTTGTTTCGCTTTTTTCTTGTCATTATCTAAAATTTCTTGAAAATTTGATTTTTCATATGTGTGTCTTCCTGAGGCCATGTGTTTATTTCGTCCGCCATTCCTCTGTCACACAGAGTTCGAATAACATTGATTTTAGAATTAATGCGACCATAATAACATCAAGACAAAAAATTACTAAGTTATAACCATTAGGTAATATTACTTACTTCTTTTATTTGTTGCATCGCTTCGTCTGATTAATGAAAGAAACGCGAGTTTAACCCCACTCCAGCAAATCGGGAAAAACTGTTCTGTTCGCAGCTCGAGTTTCCTAGCTAATATTATTACACTGAGCACATGGTTGGCATGTGCATATATCTGCTGTGGATAGATGCGTTTATTACCATGATTGTATTTAATTTTTCGTGGAACAAGTTTTGATAATTTGTTGGTTTCTTTAAAACTCAAGAAAAAAGCTATAAAATGCCCTAAACATTTGTGTTTACGTCGGGTCTTTTTTCTGTGGCGATAGAAGTTATTTTGAAATGGGGCTCTGCAAGGAGGATGCTTAGCATTTTATTTGAAAATGTTTCAAACAATATGCGGTGCATGGAAAACAAATTGCAATTACATGTCTTACATTCGAAAAGTTGGTACATATGTCTATTTTGTTTAGCAGTTAGATAGAAAAAATAGGCAGTTAAAGTATTTCCTTCAGGCACCTCACGTAAATATCTTGATTGTTTGCAATCACCAACACATTGTATGGAGTAATGTTTGGACATAAGAACGCATGATGTCTCATTATGTTGACTACGTTGTAAGCTATCGCTTATTGAACATACGAAGCTTGATAAAATATATTGAGTTGTTTCTTTGAAAATTAGAAGCAATCACAATGTTTGCAAACAAAGGTCCATTGCATATGCTATGTCTATCATCGCAAAAAAAAAAAAATGAGAGGCTATCCCCCCCCCCTTTTCGAAAATCCTATGTTCTTTTTTCAAAATAGTGCCAAAGATTAAAAAAAATTGCATTACTAAGTATGTGATGGAACATGTACTAGCCTTATAGGACCATTTGTTATAAAAAATATTTGGATGCCCTCTCTCCAGTTCTACTGCCTAGAAATGGCCCGACTCAATTTTATTTTACATCCAATTACAGGGTGTTTTTTTTTTCTTCCGTCAACAAATATGTTTCAATTTTAAGGAAAAATTTTTCTCGCCATAAATACGGACCCAATAATTTTTCCCTGAGTTTGGATGTCAACTAAACGTCATTTTAGAGATGGTATAAAATATTTAATTATGTAGAATTTTTTCTTTCCTCTGTAAAATTGTAATTTTGACAAAATTGGCAAATACAAAAAAAGATTCATTAAATCTACTACTCTGAATGATTTTATTCCTTTTCAAATGTTGCTCTGCCGTAATGAAAATTGTAAATGTTTATTTGACAGAGTATAAGGGGCGGGGGGGGGGGGGGTGATCAAAAGTAAACGATATCTTAGGTATTTGATAGATATATATTATTGTTGAAATATTTTTCAAAATGTAAATTGGAGATCTTTGATAGTATATTGCTTAATTAAAAACAAACCCCTTTTCAAACTTGCTTTCTACGGGCAACATAACAAGTATCATATTCTACCATCTGCCTTCATTCACTATAACGATCTATCCAATCATTGATTAAATTTTTAGGAAGTCATTTGTCTTAATATACTATGAACAAATTCTTATACGTTACCTCAAAGGCATTTTTAAGATATACCAAAAATATTTTTGTCGTTTGTCGAACGAGTTTTACTGAGACAACCATTTTTCGTCACAAGTACCTGCATAATGACTTCATTTTCACATTGTGAGCAAAACTTTATTCAGCATATACTATTTATAGAACTTCAGTGTGCATCAAATTTTTTTCTAATCTAAATTGTGGTTTTGTAGATATAGAGATAGTTCGAGAACTTTTTGATCACCCCTCGTACTAGTTGATACTAACACAAGGTTTTTTCATATCGATTTTATGTGTTTATAATTCCTTTGTGTTTCATTGGTGATAGTTAAACTTTTGAAAGATATTATAAATTATCTGTGGCAAACTTACAAACTCTTATTTTTAAACTTTGATGGTGCTCATTTTTCCTTACCTGGAATCAAAGAGTTTATTTCAATACTTACACTATTTAACAACTGTTCGATAATAATACTAAATAAATAAATAAAGTCACACTATAACACAATTCCTCTTTTAAAAGTGTTCATATTACATTGTATTTGAAATATTTTGCAACTGTAATTCTCTTCTACATTTAAAGATTGTTATGTCCCTCCATATTAAGAAGAGGTCTGGAAAACAAAAAGCTGTGCTAAAAATAGAACACGTGCTGCTATCAATGAACTACTTTCAGGGTTCTTTACACTCTTTTT